TATACATTGTGCGTCGCCTGTAGCCTACAGCTACAGTCACCGACACAATGAAAAAAGTGACAGAAAACTGACACCATACGGGCGCGCATATGTACGCATATATGTGTAAAAATAAACGTTCATATGTAAACTAACCTTTATTCACTAGCAGGGGCTGATAAATCATAATCGTCGAGAAGTACGATAGGTGGTCCCACCTGTTTAATCTGTATGGAGAGGCAAACGTGACGTAAGAAGCATAACACTGGTTTCTCAGTATATTTAATAGACTCTGCTGTTGGCTTAACTGTAAGCTTATAAAAGAAGCAGATCACGGAGGCAAAGAAACGCTTACATCAACTCCTTGATGAACAATAAGCTTACTTAAGACTAAACAATTAATTATACTAACTTTTATACTTTTTCTCTTTTCCTAAGTTGATCGTGATCACAAAGATCGTGATCTGAGTGACAATGAACTATAAGTTATATGAGGATATATGTGAGTAATGTGAGTATAAAAAAAGAGTTATAGTAGTAAAATTAGGTGTTTATTCGTGGTTTAGAGGAGGGATCAGAAGTCAGTGGCTAAGTTCCTTATGGCGCGCTTTAATTCATGGTAGGATGTGTCAGCCTTAAGGAACCTTTCATGCCAGCTGTCTGACTCATGTCCCACACGGTTGAGACGAGATCGAAGATCGCAGATCTCGTTGGCATAAGAGTCAACTTTATACTCAAGCTGGCTGATGTAGAGCTCTTTACCTTTCGCTTCCTCTACTTTTTCAGCCAGCTTGAGCTTTAGTTCCTCGAGAGCTACGTTTGACTCCTCCAGCTGCTTCAAATACTTGTGGCTGGTCTTGATTAAACGTAGCTCTCGAGGAGTAGCTCGTGGACCCGTTTTCTTTGCCGTTTGCTTGTGATCGAGATCTGGGATCTTGATCTCGGTCTTCGGACTCTCGCCACCCATCAATATTTCCTCGTCGCCAGAGGACTGTTCTTCAGTCACCTCTGGCTTCTGGATGGCAAGAGCCTTAGCAGGAGCTTTGTTGTTCGCTTCCATTAAAATGTAAACTTTACGTGTCAAAAAAATTCTGTCACGTAAACTATTTATGTTGAGATTGAGTACCAGACTCTAATATAAGTTCAACCATTATATTAGAGTCTTTAGGAATTTCATATGGTTCTTTTACATAATATTCCTTTTTTTGACCATCAGTTGATTCTTCAACTCTTTTGAATGAAAAGCGCTTATAAAACTCAAACACGAGTGCATCTTTATAACCAGTGATATCGTAAAATTTTGGTGGCACAAGCTGTTCATTCACATTACATATAAATTGTTTGTTATCATGAGCAATATTACTCAACGTTACTAAAGGCTCAAGGAGAGGATTTATTCTTATCTGATAACCGACAAATTTATATGTTGGTTTGCCCTTTCGCTCAAGGATAAACCTGATATTCGCTATAGTTATGAAAAGCTCATCAAAGTACTTATATGTTTTTTTATCTTTATCATTTTCGTCAGTGAAATCTGCTATGGTAAAACTATAATATACATGCATTCGCGAGATATATTTTTTTTCCCATAAGTCTAAAAATTTTGCTTTCGATGGAATTACTTTTTGCGTGAATGTTCTACCATGGTCATCTTCCCAAACAAGCTCTGGTTTTCTTGATGTTGTGTCTGTTTCAGTGGTTTCTAATAACGCAGTGATGAAATCCAACACATCTCCTAGGGACATGTCATATTTATAATTCAAGGCATTTTTTTCTATACTACTGTATGAAGGTAATGTTATGATTGGTGATGTACCTTTTCTTAATACATTCAATTTATTTTCATTTGAATCATAGTAACAATCAACAAATTCTCTACTTGCCTCAGTCATTTTTTCCATAAGACCTTCATTCAACTCCTGTGTAGTCATGTTGGGTTTTATGTAATATCTCATGTCAAACCTTTTTTTCACTGATTTTGATGAATCTGTCATTTCTAATGGAATAGCAAGAAACTCAAAGTCTGGATGCTCAAGACTTATCTTTCTTATCTCAAGAGCTTTTGACGCAGGATATTCAATGAAGTCTCTCGGTAATTTATATGAGACTGTATTACCACTTATCGTGCCATCATTCATAACATGTTCATAGTATAATCCATCATATTTAGACATTTTATATGTAACTAAAAGATGGAGAAAGTTATTAATCAAGTAGATAAGATTCTTCATGATGGAGCACGTAAGAATAGTAAAGAACTAAACAATGCACTCATTATGCCATTTTCTGATGATTATCCATTTTGTACTAATGGTGTTTATTTCTACTGCGGTAAGATGGGTTCAGGTAAGACATATGGTGTTATTCGTCATATAATGATAACAGACCGCTTCACTAATACTCCATATTATGACTCAATAGTTATCTCAGCAACATCAGGAACAATGGATAAAACAGCGAAGACATTTATGAGTCAAGTTAAAGCACCAGTACTGAAAAAGGATGATAAAGAACTTATGCCTTATTTAATGAAGAACGTTAAGATGAAAGCAAAGTATTACGCTATTGTTGAGTTCGTTCAAAGTAAGTTCGAAAAAATTTCAGAGGAGATGGAACACATCTTAACAAAGCATCAACTAAGGAAACCTGATGGAAAGTTTGAGTATAAGAAGATTGCAATATATGTTGTAAAGAAGTTGAACAAATATCCTTTCACAAAGTATCCCAGTAATTCTCTATTAGTGTTAGACGATTATGGTGGTCATGACTTATTGAATGACCCACGTTCACCATTAGCGAACTTCATCACTAAGGTCAGACATTATAACTATACTGTTGTCATCATGTGTCAAACATGGAGACATATATGTTTAAACATTAAGAGACTATGCACTGACTTCGTTATCTTTCAAGGTTATTCTATGAGAGACTTTCAGTCAATGATTGAACAGTCAGGAGCAACAGAAGATTGGGAAGAGTTATGGAACAAATACAAAGAGCTACCAACACCTCGTTCATATATGGAAGTTCATATAGTTGCAGGAAAGACGGACTTTAAAGAAGTTAAGCAACAAAAGATGACATTATTTTAAGAAGAAATAAATGGGTTTTGGCGATTATGTTAAAGCTGGATGGGGTATGGTGAAAAAAAATCCTGGTCTTGTAATAGGTGCTGGATTTAACATTGCTAACAAACTTTTCCCTCAAGTTGGTCAAGTCGGTGGTGTTATCGGTAGTCTTGGTGAAAGAATTGCAAAAACTACATTAGGTGAAGATAATGCATTAACGAAGAATCTTAAAGCATTCAATAAAGCTCTTGGTGGTGACTTCAGTAGAGACAAGCCTGTTGAAACACCTATAGTTCAACCTCAACAAACTATTGACAACAATAAGTATAACGCATACATTGGAGGAGCTATTTGGAACAATCATAAGCCATTAGTTCAGTCAGTACGTGTACTATCAGACATGCCATGGATTAATGCTATTAGTGGCACTATACGCAGATAATATATTTTTATGAGGTTTAAATGAGTGAACAAGAGAGGAAACTCATTGATGAACGAGTTAAGAAATGGGAGAATGAACGTCCGATAATTCGTACCATAATTAGCGATCAAAAGTTCAAGCAGCATACATTTGATTTTTTGCGCGATATATATAATGATCTTGCTTTTGATTACAATGCTAGGCAATACTTTGAGAAAGAATATGTTCAAAAAGGTCGTATTAATTTCCCAATGAGAAGAGAAGGCTTTTTGATTACATCAACATATACAGCACGTGGTAGAGACCCTTTTACAGACGCGGTTCGTAACTTTAAAGCACGTTCTTCTATTAATGATGATCCAGATTTCTACATACCTTATTTTCGTCCACCTTCGCATCCTTTACGAACCAGTGATCCTGGATATGACGCTAAACGAAGATATATAGAGACGAAATTAGCTAAATACAAGGAACCTAAGGATCCAAGGACTGGAGAAGTAAAGGAATCACATGTCAAGATAAATAAGCTTTACAAAGTAGTTGAAGAATTGGAGAAACGATCTAATGAGATTAACGCTGAGAAGAAAAAGGAAGTACCAAATATGAACAAACTAGATAAGATGATTAAGGAATATAGAGGATTGGCGAATACATCGAGCGTTCTAATAAAGGAAGTAGAAAACACGACAAAGCTGCAGAAAATGATTCATGATGAATTACTGTTAGGTGAATTTTCTATAAAACAAAGACAGAGTAACTTAATGGGTGAGGCTTATTATTTGGAGAATTGGTATAATGAGAGGTTAAAACAAATGTCGACTCCAACACCAACTCCTACACCTACTCCTACAGTAGCTCCAACACCAACTCCCACTCCTGAACCAACAGTAGCTCCAACGCCAACTCTGACACCAACTGCTCACGCAGGTCCTCCACCAATGTCGAGTAGTCATGGTATAACATTAAATAAACCAACACCTACACCAAAAATAACTCCTGTATCACATCCTAGTACAACTAACCCAGTATCTGATTCAAATCAAGCGGAAAGATCACAGGTTCTTAAAAGAGCTAATACACCAACTGCTTCCCCTATTAGAACACCAGAGCCAACTCCAAGAATCACAAAGGCGCCAACACCTTCACCGACTGTTGAACCAACTCCAGAACCAACAGTACCTCCAACTCCATCTCCAACTCCATCACCGACACCTACAAAAGCACCTACTCCATCTCCAACTCCGACTAAAGCTCCGACACCGTCTCCAACACCAACTAAAGCTCCAACACCGTCTCCAACTCCAGCTGAACCAACTGATGCAGAATCTATTCAAAATTGGTTAGACGAAGAAAAGCGAAAAGAAAAGGCTGCAATTGATGCTGCACTAGATAAAAACACACCACCACAGACACTTGGTGGTTACATGTTAAAGAAAGACAACATTCAAAGACAAGAACGTGCATTGAGTGTTGCCAGAGAACAAGCACAAGAAGAGAAGAAAATAGTTGAAGGAGAAGCTTCAAATAGAGGTGGTCCAGGAACTTACAAAGGATCAAACTATCCAGCAGAGAAAGCCTCGAGTGATAATGTTGTCTCAAGAGCTACTGATTTAGTTACCCATGGTATTCTAACTGGTGCAACAGCTGTTGGTAGTGCTATTGGAACCAGTGTTGACACTGTTGTTGATACTGTAAGAACTGTTACAAATCCTACACCTGAAGATAGGAAGGAAGAATTTCTTACTCTTAATACAAAGGCAAAACCAGGGATATGGATTGGTCGTGGAATTTTAAATGCTGGTAGTGCTATTGGCAATGGTGCTTCAGCGGTAGGGGGATGGCTCGGAAGAACAGCAACATCAACCGCAAATGGAATACTAACAGGTGCCAAATCACTTGGTAATTGGGCTGATGATAAGTATACAAAATATTATGAAGAAAAAGCTCGTAAGGCTAAGGAAGAAGCTGAACGAAAGGCGAAAGAAGAAGCTGAACGTAAAGAACTAGAGGAGCTTAAGAAGAAAGAAAAAGCTCGTAAGGCTAAGGAAGAAGCTGAACGAAAGGCGAAAGAAGAAGCTGAACGTAAAGAACTAGAGGAGCTTAAGAAGAAAGAAAAAGCTCGTAAGGCTAAGGAAGAAGCTGAACGAAAGGCGAAAGAAGAAGCTGAACGTAAAGAACTAGAGGAGCTTAAGAAGAAAGAAAAAGCTCGTAAGGCTAAGGAAGAAGCTGAACGAAAGGCGAAAGAAGAAGCTGAACGTAAAGAACTAGAGGAACTTAAGAAGAAAGAAAAAGCTCGTAAGGCTAAGGAAGAAGCAGATAGAAAGGCGAAAGAAGAAGCAGATAGAAAGGCTAAGGAAGAAGCTGATAGAAAGGCGAAAGCAGCAACACCATCGCCAACTCCATCTCCTTCACCATCTCCATCTCCTTCACCATCACCAACTCCATCGCCATCTCCATCTCCTTCACCATCAATAGCGGCTCCTGTGAGACAATTTGGTGCATGGGGTGCTGATTTAGTCAAAGATGCTGCACAAGGAATTGGAAAGGAACTGAAGAACACAACATTAGGTACAATAGAGCGTTTTGGTAATCTTACGGATTACACAATTAGATCAGCTGCTAATCTTTTATATAACCAGACTACTGATAACGGTACTGATGAATTGGCTGTAAACGGACTAGCATCAATTAAGAAATCAGCAGAAGATAAATACGATGAATGGAAAAAGAATATTAAGGGTGAATATAATAAGTATGCATATCCTGAAGAACATATGAAGTTAGAGCTTACCAGACTAAGATCAAAATATGGTAATGAAACAACAAATACTACAACGCAAACGACGAAAGCTGACAGAAAGATTGATGACACTCCTACTCCAACTCCTGCAATGGCGAACATCACAACAATTGCTCCAAGAGTTCCAACAGGAGAAGGTATATCAGGAAATGTTTCAACTACTCATAACATTACTGAAGCAGCTAATGTTTCAGCAGTTGAGCAACCTGTTGTTAATGTAACTCAGGAAAACGCTACTGAAACATCAACACCAAGACAGGATGTAAATAATGAACGTCCAGAAGTTAAGGAGGTTGCAAAAGCATACCTGGAGAAAAATACTACACAAGTTCTTGAAGCAGAAAAGCATCTCAATTCAGACAAAACACCATCTCCAACTCCTGAAGCATCAGTTCCTCCAGCAATTGGTGGAAATATACCTTCAGTATCACCATGGCAGAAATTTTATGGATTGTTTAAAGGAGCGAATAAGGTAATGGATGCTGCTGAGAATCTCCAAAAGTTCAAGAATGAAGTCGCAACTGGTGCAAAGGAAATAGAAGAGAATGATAAACAAGCTGCTGAATTAGCTAAACAACAAGCTGAAGCAACTAAACAAGCAGCAGCTCCTAAACAATCTATATCTAAGTCTCAAAGACAAGGTCCTGACCCAAGTGCTAAAGTCAAACAGAATCCAACACCACCTGCAGCAGAGAAGTCCAAGAAGGACAAGGACAAGAAGAAGGATAAATCAAAGAAGGACAAGGACAAGAAGAAAGATAAGGATAAGAAAAAATCGTCAAAAGATAAAAAACATAAAAATTTATCCAGTAAGAAATGAGTCAAGTCATTAAAGCATCAACTAAACAAAAGTGGTTAACTGAATATATAAAAGATGGTAAGGTTCCTGATGGATATTATGTACATACAATGAAAGACGGACGTGTACAGTTCCGTAAAGTCAAGCAACCTCTCAATGATGAACAGATCAGAAGGAAGATCTCATTGTATGAAACAAAAATAAAGGACTTACAAGCTAAACTCGAAACCCACGATACTTCTCAAGAAAACTAGGCATATCTTTAACATGACCTTCATTAATATTTTTCCTCCAATACTGTACTTCCATTTGTGACAACCTGTTTGGATTACCTTCACGCATACCTCTACCTGTCACTTTTCCTGTATTTTCGTTCTCAAACGTAACATCATACTTTACATCATTACCGACAAGTTCATGACCATCAATACTTTTAACAGCACCGTGTCTTCCTTGATCTAAAGTTTCTCCTTGCTTTAATCCATGCTCTATTTTTGTCCATATCTGATAACGTGGATATCTTGCAACACTTCCATCTTTTGCTCTTAACAAGTATGCACTTGTATCAACTGAATCAACTGTATAATAAGAAGGATCAAGATGTCTTCTTTGTTGGTTACCTTTACCCCATGTTCTTGGTTCAACTATGACTTGAACTTTTTGACCAGGTCTTAAGTTATAAAGGTTATTTTTTCTGACATACTCTTCTTTCAATCTTTGCTTCTTTATATATTCCTCATTATCCTTTTCTGTGAAATCATCAGGCTTTTGTTGTGTGCTTGAATGATATTCAGTGTTGTAGTCATTAATAATTTGTCTCATTGTATCTGCAGTGAAAGGTGGTGTTTTATCACCTTCTTTGAGGTTTAACTTCATATGTAACATAGTTCTAATAGTTCTACAGAACCTATTAATAATACCTAGTATGTTATGATTGTATTTCTGTGTCGTCATGTGCTCAATGTTATGACTGACCAACAGATCTCGAACATTTTGTGTCGTATAAGCTGGGTCTTCATCACTAGTAAGTATTGTAGGCTTCATTTCACCTGTAGCTTGTGAAATGAACTTCTGCATTGCACTTAGAACATTGTTTGAGTTCTTTTCACTCATTGGGAACGCATAACCTTTTCTACTGTTTACATTGATGAACAAAAGAAAATATGGTGGTGTTCCACCAGGATTCTCAAATGTATCGAATTGATAAGCTCCCATATCAGTTGAATATATTGGTAGCATCAAATCCTCTTGTATTAAAGTTTTTTCTTGTTTACCAACAGTCATTTTTTTATTAACGTTAAAGTCTTACAGGCATTGAGTAATCGCTATAACCATCATGGTCTGCGAATTCATGTAATCTTGATGCATCAGGTTCTTTCTTCGTTGGTGCATGAAACCTTGCTTCATCATAAAGGTTCATATAATGGTTTGTCACGTTTGGGGTAGACCCAATTTTTGCATATTGAGGATATGAGTAATGATACACTAAGTTGAACCCATTACTACCATCATCAACATATATCTTTGGTGGAGGTTGTCTTATTAAATTCCTTCCTCTTGGGGCTTTGAGTTGGACGATCTGATCTAGATCATTGTAAACAACTCCTGTTGCAGTATATTCTGTGTTGTTCTCTGGGTTAATGTTCGTCATTTATATGAGAATAAAACAATTTTTACTCATAACAAATGAGATCGAAGTCAATTCTTTATGGTGCAGCTAATCTTCCAATTGAACCAACAAGCAATGTTGATTCAAGAACAACTAATAACATTGTGATAAAGAACTATCCATCTGGTACAGTAAGTGATGCTCCAACAGAGATAAAAAAAGAGGAAACAACTACGAACTCAGAAGCACCAATGTATCCTCCTCCTTTAAGTCCATTAACTTCCAACCTGACCTCATCGAGATCTGTGGAGACTTCATCGAGGATTGGTGTAGAAGAGTATTTACTTAGTATATACCAGAAGATACTTCTAGACCAAGACAAAGAGCTCTTTTCTAACTTAGTGAGCAAAGATCAGATTCTTACTACCTAAGCCAGACTTGGAAGAAGTTGTTCACAGAATGACTGGGTTCAAGTGTGAAATAGACCTACTGGACCCAGACATCACATGTTGTGGTATTCCACCACCTTTCTCAAAAATAGCTCAGATCAGAATCATTGATGAGAACAATATTGCTCAAGAGTTTAAGTATGCATATAATGCACAATATACTGAGTTAATAAGTAGGTATAATTTATGTCTTAAGTATGTGATCGTTTAACCGAAAAGTGACATTTCCAATGAGCCAAAGACTACAAAGGTTCTTTGACCTAATTGCTGAGGAAGATGAACCAATATCTGTAGGTAAAGCAATGAGAGTTCATCACAACGTATTTGGTGAAGAAGATCCCTTCTCAAATCCCGAAGAAGCAATTCTTACCATGTTCATAATGAAATGGTATGAAAAGCATCGTGAGGTTGAAGTTTCATACTACACGTTCTTGTATGAGTTAGGAAAATATAACGTCAAGATGAAAGAATATCTTGAAAAGAGAAACAATGAATAAAACTTATCGTTTACTCAAGTAATTATTTTTAGTACTTTTCGACGTACTTTTTGATCTTGTCAAGAGCTTCGAGCATCTGCTTCTTTGCATTGTGCTTGGCGAAGATGGCTTGCTCAATGGTGAGCTCGAAGGCTTCTTTACCGATCGGCTGGTGTTCGCGAAGATCTTTGAGTGCATCAAGAACTGCAGTGTACTCTGATGGTAAATGGGAGCCATCAATGAGTGTATAAAGGATGAGCATGTACTCCTGCAGTAAGTTCTCCTGTTTCAAGCGGGACTTGAACTCTTCGCGGAGATCTTGAAGCTTTTGGAGCTTCTCAGTGGCTTGAAGGTAGTCAATGATGACCTTCTCTTGTCCCTCAAGTGCTTGTGGGAGGAAGTGGACATAAGCTGTTGACTTCATCAAAAATGAAGTGGTCATGACACTTTTTAAGTTAATGTCCGAGCCATACAGTGATGTCGAAGCAGCACATGAACCAAAGAAGAAGTCTTGCTGGGAAAAGACAAAGATTGTTGGTAACGCAATCCTAGCCATTTGTGTTGTTTTGAACTTGATCGTACTTCTGATCTTGTTCTACAAACTCAACAGAGGTTATTGTCTCAAGTAAACACTTATTTTTATTACCATATAAATGATTTTTACCAAACCTCCTTTACCTTTCATAGGTAATAAGTCGAAGATCAGGAAAGATCTTATCGACATACTCAAAGACATCAAAGGGGATTATGTCTTCGTTGACCTATTTGGTGGTTCTCTCTATATCTCTCATCTGTTGCATATTATGTTCCCAAAAGCAACGATCATAGCTAACGACTATGATAACTACGTTGATAGACTGAAACACATTCATGACACGAATGAAATACTTAAGGAACTTAAGGAGAGAATAAATGTTAAGCCAGATGAGAAAATTCCTACTGATCAGAAAGAGATCGTCAGAGAAGTTATAAGTAAAGCTCCATACATAGACTGGGATACATTATGTTCACGTCTTCTCTATTCTGGAGCATACAAATACTATGATCTTGACACATTAATGAAGAAAGTGTTATACCTCAGATATACTAACTTATTTGGTGAAAACATAGATGACTATCTTGAAGGTTTAACTATTGTTCATAAAGATTGGAGAATACTCTTCAATGAGTATAAAGATCTTCCCAATGTTTTCTTTATATGTGATCCTCCATACTTCCATACTTATTCTATACAGTATGGAGATGAATGGACTCTTAAAGATACTGTAGAAACCTTTGATGTCCTTAATTATCCATCTATTTACTTCAGTAGTGATAAATCTTATACAGAAGAACTTATAGAGATATTGACAAAAAGATATGGAGAGAAATTTCCTATGAGAAAGCATGTTATAGATAGAGGTTTAATTAATCCTAACACTCAGAAAAATAATGA